CCCCCAAAGATTGAACTCAAAACCCTGAGTTTAGCAGGTCGTTGATTTCACGGAGGAAGGGGGAAGCAAATGAATACAGAACAAATCTATTTTTTACATCTTAAGCTGGCAGCCGATGGTGCAGCATAACTGATAGCCCTCGACATCTTCTGAGTGCTTGGCAGAAAATACTGGGCGCTTGGCAGAAAATAGTGTACTACGACTAATAGCCACCATCATCATTGGGAAGGCAGCAGAATATGACTGGGAGACGTACGGAGTTTCAGCCATCATCTGATCGAACTGCAGTATGACGACGACGGATACCAGTCGTAATACACCATCTACTGCCAAAAGGCAAGGGGCTGCTGCTGTGTAGCAATGCAGTACCATGTCTGCCGGCACCCAGATGACATATGGTGACACTGAGCTGAGCGGGCTCCATGCTTGGTGTGGTATGTTGTCTGCACAGGTAACCCAGGTAATAACCCAGCAAATCGATTGTCTGCCGTTGCTCTGACGGAGGGGGAGGGGCCTGACGACATGTACCCAGAACCCCCCGCAACACTGTTTTGCATGATTCAGGCATTGGGATCTCAACCCAGAATTCCAGTGGGCGGCGGAGACTGCGGGAACTGTGGGATAGCTACCCATAGTGCAATGCTTCAGAAGTCGACGCTAGCCTCGGTACTGTGGACGCGGTCCACCGACTTAATGCACTTAGAGCATTTTATGTGGGGACACACACAGTCGGCTGTATACAATCGATTTCTATAAAACCGGCTTCTATAAATTCAACCTAATTTCGTAATGTAGACATACCCTTATTCTGAACTAAGTATGCCTTGTTCCTGTTTAGCTTGTTCCGCTTTGAAATGGATTAAGCTAAACAGGAACAAAGCACTCTTGTTATTCAGGAATAGCTATTGTACTTTAAATTCACACCAACCTTAATCCAAATTAACTTTCAAATGCCAACAAACGCTAACAATTCAGAAAGAACAGGCCTCTGAAAGTAAATGTGTCTGTAACAGGACCTAGATGTGGGGGTAGGTCCTCTGCCTTGGTAGACATATGTATTAGAAATACACCACACTGTACCCTCACCCTGTATGGCTGCATAAGCATGACTATCTGATCCTTCCACCTTTTTCCCTTAAAAGCTGTTAACCCATGCACAGGTAACTTTCCAGCTTGAAGAAAAATGCCAGAGCCCATTCTACCCTTCCCTTGCTCAACTGGATTTTGTTTCAGGATTTGTGGGTAAAATACAAACAAAGAAGGGAGGTGATATTTCTTCTTGGCTGCACCACTTACCACCTTCATCATCAGACAGATAGGAATTATTGCATTCCTAGAGGCACAATTTGTGTCTTTAACTTAATTTTACTAGCAGCAAAGTTTCAGTATAACCGAATTCAGTTACTGTAAGTGAATTCCAGTTTTTTAACCAAAATATATTCTGCACTTACTATTTATAATGCCTTTCATGCCACAGGATACCAAAACACTTTAATTTAAGCTAACATTTCAACACTGCATATATCCTTAATGAATTTTGAACATATAAAACAAATATATTTTAACATACGTCATGGAAAAAATAGTGAAAGCAAGAATAAACATAATTTATATATAGTTACTACATAAACTACCCTTTCCTCATTCAGAACTTCCCTTAAAACCAACTTCTTCTTCTACAAAATTAGTCAACAAAGACTTTTAATTATTTTGATTAAAAAAATCTTTATTCTACTCTACTTTACACTAGCCCTTACTGAGCTACCACATTATTTTACCTAGTTTACCCTGTCATGCTTCTCTGCCTTCTTTCCTGTTAGCTTACCTTCCTTCCGCCTACCCCCTGCTATGTCATTTGTATTCTTAGTTTGTAATCTCTTTAGGGAAGGATGTACTGTATTTTAAGGCCCGGCCAACTTGTGGACTCTGTGTAAAAAAAAAAAAAAAAGTATTAGTAATAATAATTACACTAATCCATACTTATTTGCAGAGCGTAACCAGTATTTTCAAAATTCAAGGAAGAAGAATTAATATAGAGGTTATCTAATGTAATTAGCTATAGTTATCCATATCTGCCAATTTCATTAAGGCTTTGGGCTTGGGCAGGTGGAAAGAACCTGTGACAATCTACTTTGTATTTCTTAAATACTAGAATCTCCATTACTTTTAAATTAAAATAATACAATACCAACCAATAACAATGTTTTTAACTTTAGAACAGGAATGAAGGGAGATAAAACTGTCTTACAAGATACAGTCAAGCTTTATAAATAGCTATAGGATAATAAGAACAGTGATGACTTCCTTCAATAAACAAATCTTTATACTTGGTATAGTCCATTGTAATAGAAGGTTGGTTCTTTTATTTTATTTTTGAGGAAGAATCAAACCTTAGAATCTTCATAAATAATTTTGGCTTAATCCTCAGTTGTTTTTTTACAGTCCCAAGAATCGGCCATCAGATGATAATCACAGCTGCCTCTCTGGTACCACTTGTCTTATTTGAGCTTCATTTGCTAGTGATTATGCTCTGCTCTAAACCTAGATTCTGTACAATAGCACAATTCCGTAATATGGGAAGTGAAAGATTCCATAAATGTCAATAACTACCTAGTTTTCTTCAACTCCCCACACTACATCATTTGGTTTTTTAGGTTCCTCATTTTCTATCCTCTAAACATCTTCATTACTTTCTTAGAGGTATCCAACGGTACCAAAACTTGTTTGACCAGAGCTTCAGCCCTGACTTCCATGCTGTCGCTCTCTTACTTTACTCTTTTTTTCTCCCTTTGAACACATTTAATTTACCCCAAATCTCCCTAGACTTGTTTTCAGCAGAGGACAGTGTAATTTGAACTCACTTACCCTACAAGGACCTCCATCAAATCATACACCTGGTCTTCTGGGCGGGAGTTAACATCTGTCACATGCTGATGCTTACAGTAATCTTATCCCCAATCTTTTGGACATTTTAATCCCAGTGTAAACCTTTGTAACTCTTTAAAAAACAATTCTCATTATAACTATTAAATATTAACAGACCTTGAGCAGTACTTGGTGTCCTGCTTGGCCTTGCCTTGTTTCCATTTCTGGTGCCTAAGGACTGTTGCAGTGTTTTCTCAAGAAGGACCACTAGGAACAGGTGGTAGCTTGCTTCGAGAGGAGAGTGCCTGATCTCTCCAGGGGCTACCCACTTCTTCACAAGTACTAGCAATAAGGTGTTCAGTTGCCCTGTGCTTTGTTCAATGGATGTAGCCTTTATTGAAGCAGTTCAGAGAGTCTCCTTTGTATAAGAGTTGGTTCTTCTTCGAGTGCTTGCTCATATTGATTCCATTCTAGGTGTGCGCGCACCCATGTGCACAGTTGTTGGAGATTTTTGCCTTAGCGGTATCCATAGGGTTGGCTGCAGCGCCCCCTTGAGTGCCACGCTCATGCATCAGTATATTAGGCACCACCGTCCAGGGGCACTGGAACAATTTGCATAATGGGGATGCTGAGAGCCATTGAAACAAACTGCAAACGCTGTATATAATGGAAACCACTTCAAGTCGGAGGTGTGGGAGGCCAATGCCTATCAGTGATTCCCATGACAGCTGCCTGAAGTGTTTGGGGGAATCCCATAGGAAAGATAAAGTGTCGGATCCATAAAAACTTTCGACCTCTAACACAGAAGGAACGGGATAGCCACCTGAAGGCCCTCCTCATGGATGCTGAGCTTTGTCCCGCGTCAGAGCCCTCCACTGTAGATCCCAGGCCGAGTACTTCAGCTTTGGTGTGGAGCGCACCGTTCCCCCTCACCGGTGCCGAAGAAAAGGCAAAAGAAAGACAAGGGGACTTTGGGCAAAGGATCTATGTCAGGCAATGCACCCACTTTAGGGCTTCACGGGGGTACCGCTGAGATCAGACCCCCCCAGCCCAGCCACTGATCCACCCCCAACCCTGGGAAGTGGCAGGGTTCCCCCCCGGCCTCTTCCAGGGCCATCAGTGCCCGAAACGGCCCCGGCATCTAAAGACCAAATGAGCCGACCGACACCGCAGGCACCGCACCAGGTGGCGGACTCAGCTAAGTCCCCAACACCTAAGGGCAAGCCAATCGTGGTGCGGCCTCATAGGATGGTGGAGTACACCTGGTCACTGGACTGCAGGCGCAGATCCCATCTCCACGACCTCGGACCCTGGCACTGTATCCTGGCTCTCCAGCTAGAAGACCCATGTCCTTGACATGTTTCCCGCCTAGTAGGCATGGGACATCGGAATCAAGGTGCCAGTCTCCGTACCAGCGAGCTTCTGGCTGCAGGTCACCAAGGCTCCAATCGCCCTCCCTCAGATGGTCTCCTAGACGTTGGTCCCTGCACAGGAGGGACAGTTTGTCGTTACGGCCCCGGTCTCCCCCGTACCGGTCCTCCAGTAGGCATCATTATTCACCCTTGCCTCACCAGTCGTCTACCAGAGTCAGCCAGTAGACTCAGGCCTTGACGGCTCCACTGTGGTCGCCAGAAGGACAGTGGTCTGAGTTGGACTGAGAGTTCAGCCCTTTGCCTTGAAGGGGAGATTCACCACTAACACAAGAGACGCTAACGCCGCGGCTACATCACAGCAAGGGCAGTGGCCCTCCCAGTGGCCATATTGGAACCTGTGGGGTGTGCCATTGATGCCAGTTCTGTACTCCCGCCAGCCCTCCCTGGCCACCTCGGACAAACCAGCCATGGCACCACAGTCGGAGCACGATGCCACATCTGTTACACAGGCAGGGCACCAGACCCCAGCACCCAGGGACCTCTTCCTGGACAAGGAAGGGGAACACAGTCCCCCACAGGCAATGCAGTCATCGTTGTCGTCCCCAGATGATGCGAAGACAGAGCCATCCCTTACAAGCAGTCCCCTGATGATATTAAGGAGCACCAGGCCCTCCTTAAAAGGGTGGCTGTGAACTTGAATTTACAGATTGAAGCAGTCACAGAAGAGGCCGACGAGCTCTTCAATATTATTTCAGCCGACACCCCTGCCCGGGTCACATTGCCTATCCACTCAGGGATCCTCAAGATTGCCAGGTCACTGTGGCAAACCCACTCTTCTATTCCACCAACTTCCAAGAAAGCAGAAAATAAATATTACGTCCCTGCATTAGGGTTTTAATACCTGTATAAGCACCCCCAGCGGCATTACTGGTAGTGTCTGCGGTGAATGAAAGGGACAGACAGGGCCATGTTAGTGGCACCCCCAAAAATAAGGACGCCAAAAGACTTGATTTATTTGGCAGAAAAGTTTATTTGATGGCCAGCCTTCAATTTAGGATGTCGAATCACCAGGCCCTTTTGGGCAGATATAATTTAAACCTGTGGGACTCGTTGAATAAGTTCAAGGAGGTCCTCCCACAGGATCGTGTCCAGGAGTTCGCCACTCTGTTGGACGAAGGCACGGTGGTGGCCAGGGGAGTCCTTCAAATGGCCTGGGACACTACTCTCTCGGCGGCCAGGGTGTTCACATCTGCAGTGGCCATGAGACGCAGCTCATGGTTGCAGTCCTCCAGGGTATCCCAAGAGATGCAGGCCACTATTCAGGACCTCCCATTTGATGGGGCCAGGCTCTTCTCCGAGTTCACAGACTCGAGGCTCCTTGGCCTTAAAGACTCCCAAGCCACCTTCCGCTCTTCAGGTCTTCACATCCCTCAGCAGGCCAGGAAGCCATTCCACCCTCTGCCTCCTCTGCACTCTAGAACCTGGGGAACTCCCAGATCGCGTTCCTACAGGAGGAAGGACAAGGGGTCTAAGAAAAGATATCCGTCATCTTCCTGCCTGGCTGTGCAGCCTGACCCTCCCAGAAACCAGGGAGGCCAGAAGCAGCCATTTTGAGGGGGCGCCTGAGGACGATGCTCTAGTCGATCTACTGGATCCATCCCTCTCTTTCCTCAACCACCTCTGCCCTTTCTGGTCAGCCTGGTCTTGTATCACCTCAGACCATTGGATGCTCGACATGATTTCGTCGGACTATACCCTGCAATTCCTGGTCCAGGAGGTCGAAAACCTCTTGTGCTTTGGGATAGAGGAGGAGGTCCCTTGGGACAGGATTCTACTCCCATTGCTTCCTCATCCCAAAAGCAAAAGGAGGCCTCAGACCCATTTTGGACCTGTGTTGTCTCAACAAGTCTCTCAAGAGGTTGAAATTTCGCATGGTCTCCCTGGCCTCCATCATTCCCTCCCTGGATCCGGGACACTGGTACACCACCCTCAATTTAAAGGACGCATATTTCCATTTTCCCAGGGCACCAGCACTTCCTCCATTTCATGTTGGGCCAGCGCCATTTCCAGTTCACAGCTATGCCCTTTGGTCTCTTGTCGGCCCTGAGAGCATTCACAAAATATATAGCTCCAGTGGCCACCTGCAATGTCGGGGAGTCCAAATTTACCCATACCTTGACGACTGGTTGATAAAGGGCTGGTCCTGAGATCAGGTGTGGAGGCATCTCAATCTGGTTTGTTCCACCTGTCGTGACCTGGGGCTGGTGGTAAACAAGAAAAAGTCAATCTTAACCCCAGTGCAGCACATAAAATTTATCGGGGCAGTCCTCGACTCCACTCAGGCCAGGGCCTTCCTCCCCAAGACTCTATTCCAAGCCATAGTGGACCTCATCTTGTGGATACAAGCCCACCTTCTCACCACCACCCACACGTGCCTGAGATTTTGGGGACACATGGCGGCATGCACTTACGTGGTCTGGCACACGCTGCTCCACGTCAGGCCCCGACAGGCATCGGTCTGTGTCCCCAACCGGCACAGCATGGACCAGGTGGTCAGTGTTCCAGACTGTGTACTGTCATCTCTCATATGGTGGCAGGATCCTACATTGGTGCTGGAAGGAGTCCCCTTCGTGGCTCCATCCCCGTCGGCTACTCTTGTCTCTGATGCATCGGACCTAGGGTGGGGAAACACAAGATCGTTGGTCCAGTCACGATTGTTCCCTGCATATCAACGTCAGGGAGCTCATGGCGGTTCGCCTGGCCTGCCAAGCCTTCCTACCTCATTTACAGAACATGATGGTGCAGGTCCTCACGAACAACATGGCGACCATCTTCTATATGAATAGGCAGGGTGGGGCCAGGTCATCTGCCCTTTGACAGGAAGCCCTCCAGCTCTGGGACTTCTGTCTGCAGAACGATATCCATCTTGTCGCCACTCACCTCCTTAGGGCCAAGAACACCTTGGCAGATCGCCTTAGCAGGACCGTCTCATCTTGCCATGAGTGGTCCCTCCATCTGGACATGGTCAGCTTCATCTTCTGCAAGTGGGGAACTCCCTAGAGGGACCTGTTCACGTCCAGGCAGAACAGGAAATGCCCCATTTTCTGTTCGATGCGAGGTATGGACAGAGGATCCCTGTCGGACGCCTTTCTGTTCCCGTGGTCAGGGGCTATGATGTACACCATCCCTCCAGTGCTGTTACTCTCCAGGGTCCTCATGAAGATCAAGTAGGACAGGGCAATGGTGATCTTCATAGCACTGGCTTGGCCGCACCAGCACTGGTTCAGCATGCTGCTGAACCTCTCGGTGGCCGGTCCATTACAGCTACCGCTCTGGCCAGACCTGCTGTCCCAAACTCACGGCAGCCTTCTGCATCCAAACCTGAAGGCGCTGCACCTGACGGCTTGGCTTCTGCATGGTTGAATGAGCACGAGCAGCAGTGCTCGGCCAATATCCAACAGGTCCTATTGAGCAGTAGAAAGCCCTCCATTAGAGCGACCTATCTGGCCAAAAAGAAGCAGTTCACCTGCTGGACCTCGGATAAAGGCGTTCGGCCTGAGTGAGCCTCACTGCAATTAATTCTGGACTACATTCTGCATCTCAAACTCCAAGCCCTGTCCCTTTCATCTATCAAGGTCAACTTGGTGGCTGTCTCGGCCTTCCATCTGCTGCTCAAGGGTAGGTCAATTTTCGCCCTGGACATGATGGCCAGGTTCCTCAAGGGCCTCGAGCACCTCTACCCACATGTCAAAGACCCTGTTCCTCTGTGGAACCTGAATCTGATGCTGTTGTGGCTCATGGGACCCCACCTTCGAGCCTTTGGCTTCCTGCTCCCTCCTTCTCCTGTCCTGGAAGGTTGCGTTCCTGGTCACAGTAACAATTGTCCCCCCCAATCTCAGAGATTAGGGCACTCACCTCAGAACTGCCCTATACAAGGACAAAGTCCAGCTGAGACCACACCCGGCTTTCCTGCCCAAGGTGGTCTCTCAGTTTCATATGAGCCAGGACATTTTCTTACCTGTCTTTTTTCCAAAGCATCTTAAGTCGGAGGAAGAGTATAGGCTGCATTCCCTAGGTGTCAGGAGGGCATTAACCTTCTACTTCAAAAGGAGCCAAGCCCTTCCACAAGTCGATGCAATTGTTCGTCGCGGTGGCCAACAGGATTAAACTGTCCACGCAAAGAATTTTGTCTTGGATCACCGCCTGCATTTGCTACTACTATGATCAGGCAAAGGTGCAACCCCCAGCGATTGTAACCGCCCACTCAACCAGGGCGCAGGCCTCTTTGGCAGCCTTTCTGGACCAAGTGCTTATCCATGACATCTGCAGGCGGCCACTTGGTCGTCCGTCCATACGTTCACGTCCCACTGTGCTCTTACCCAGCAGGCCTGGGACAATGCTGGCTTCAGTAGGGCAGTACTACAAGCCGCCAGACTGTGAACTCTGATCCCACTCCCAAAGACACTGCTTGTGAGTCACCTAGAATGGAATCGACATCGAGCAAGCACTCAAAGAAGAAAAAATGGTTTACCTACCTTTTGTAACTTGTTCTTCGAGCTGTGTTGCTCATGTCTATTCTATTACCCGCCCTCCTACCCCTCTGTTGGAGTTGCTGCAAGAAGGAACTGAGAGGGCGTAGCGTTGGTGGTGCCTAATATACAGACGCATGAGCATGGCACTCAAGTGGGTGCTGGAGCCAACCCTACGGATACCGCTAAGACAAAAATCTCTGACAACTCTGCATGTGGGTGCACATACACCTAGAATGGAATGGCCGTGAGCAACACATCTCGAAAAACAGTTACGAAAGGTAGGTAACCGTTTTATATTATCTTTTGTATAACAAACCACGTGGAAGGGTTCTGTGGGTATCCACTCATAGGAGCAGCTGGGTTCTTTGTTTTCTTGGGTTGGGCTCACTGGTCTGTGTGAAATCAAACTATTCCACTGAATTCTTCTGTACTTTGTAGTTAACAAGATACAAGGACCCATTCTTTTTCTTAAAGGAGTGGGAAAAAGTGGTGAGAAGAGGCAAAGGGACTGAGTCTGTGATTGTGAACAGGACAGATGTACAGCATAGAGAAAGTTACTGAAGCATATATCTCCTTATTTCATCTAAGCAGTTCCCTCTTTGTTCTCCATGATATGTCTTGCCCATGCAAGCGTGAAACGGTGCTTGGAACTGCAGGCCCTTAACTACTCTTGGGGATCACATTCATAAAGCTGGCCAGCAACACTGATTGTGCTATACTGCACTAGAAATATTCCTGAAGGTTCTCTGTTTCTGTAGTTCATCTAAAAAATACTAGCAGTAAATATCTCTAATTTAAAAAGATTCTGGTAATAATATATTCCCCTCAATTCCAAGCATATTCGCATCTATCCACACATGCACTTTCCTCACAACTGTTCTGTTTTCAGTAATTTATCAGGTATTATCAGGCACAAACTTACCTTTGGTCATATAAATAGCAGGTAGCATTAGAAACCAGTACTTCTCACTCCCACTTCTCTCCTGCAACCCCCAACCAACCTTCCTTCCCTAAAATCAGAAACTGTATTCCCCAAAGAGAGCCTTTCACATTTGTCTTGCCTTTTGAACTGGTCTTATAGACAGGTAGTTTTTCCTCTGTTGTAGTGTTCAGTTTCAGCCTAGAGTAAGCAGATGTGACTCCCATGGAAGCATGTGGGCCAAATTCATTGGTGACAAATGGAGATGCAAGTTACACATTGAGTAAAAACAAGTATAAGTGGTACCAGTCTTGCATCATCGAGAGTGCAAAACAACACAATAGAGGTCAGAAGGGGGTAGCCACAAGGATATAAGATAAAACTAGGAGAGGGTGCAGCTGCTTTATTCCCATCCTTTCTTGATATGTAAGGTCATTGGGGTAGGATTGTCTTTTATGCTTGTACAGCACTCAGCACAATGGGCCCCTGTCCTGTAAGTACCTCTGTAATTCAACTAATAAATAATAATTGCTCATTTTGCATATCCACTGAATGGCAAGTCTCTACACACATGACAACAGCATTTATACTCTATGTGTAACTTACACCACCATTTAAGTCACTGCAAGATTTGATCTTCTGGCTCTGAAATGTTTGCTTCTGCAGTTTGGGGATGGTCTCATTACTTGTATACAGAATCCATAAGTAGGTTAAGCAAGTTTTCCCAGTCAAGTGGGAAATTAACCTATATATGATTTAGGAACACTCAATTTATTATTGCTAACCTTTGTTTCTTCACTTTTTTCTCCTCTGAAATACATTAATTACTAAGAAAACAATGCTGTCGCTGATATGGTCAGAGCTTAGTGATGAACACAAGTGTAGTATAAATTCCATTTATATAATTTTTTCAAATGTATACCATTTGTGAAATAAAGGATTTTATGTGATATATCATAGATTCTATTGTGTATATACACATACTAATTGGTTTTGAAGAGATGTGGAAGTTGAAGTGTGCCTTTTGACTTTTTGGATAAGATGTAGTGTGGTTTGATTTACATCTAATATGTCTTCTCTTGGGGGAAAATTGCCCAAATGGATCAAAAAAATAGATCTTTTCATCTCTCACTTCTGTGATCCTAAACACATCTTCAACAACAAATACAATATGGCCTGATCCAAATACACCCAAACTTTGGGGGACAGTCCAGATCCAGACGCCAATATTGTGTCTGTAAGCCAGTTTCTCTCAATCCCTTTAGAAAAGTGGTTCTCAACCAGGGGTACGTGTACTCCTGGAGTACGCAGATGTCTTACAGGGGGTACATCAACTCATCTAGATATTTGCCTAGTTTTACAACAGGCTACGTAAAAAGCACTATCCAAGTTAGTACAAACTAAAATTTCATACAGACAAAATTAGAACATAAACAATATTTCAGTAATAGTGTGCTGTGACACTTTTGTATTTTTAAGCAAATAGTTTTAAAGAGAGGTGAAACTTGGGGTATGCAAGACAAATCAGACTCCTGAAAGGGGTACAGTAATCTGGAAAGGTTGAGAACCACTGCTTTAAAATATCCTTTGGTTGATTTTTTTTTCTTTTTCCTTTTGCAGTAATTAATTGCCTACGCTCTATTTTACTTGTCCACAGCTTCTGCTCTCCTGTTTTGAATACAGCTCTCTTGTTTGTTTTTCTGCCTTCAGTGTTTATATAGGATTAGTAATGGGAGGGAAGTAACATCTTATTTACTGAGAGTCTAAGGGGTAAATTCCCCCATAAAAACAAACTTTAACATTCTACAACAAAAGGTGTCTTATTGCAGGAGGGGGTGGGAAAGGGTCAACTTATCCACATGTCAGCGCCACATCCACCCAACACACATACAGTTGAGAAATACCTTGGAAGATACTGCAAAGGTATCCTCTCACTTAAGTGCCTGCCAACTTTCAAGGAGAGGTGGAGACAGGCACAGTGCAAACTAACCTCTTGGTGACTTGTTTGTTATTCAGTAATGGAATAAATGGGGAGCATTCCTGGAAGTAGGTCTGAAATCAGGTAGGGAGTAGAAGGGGAGAGAGTTTGAATCTGTTATGCATTATCTGAGGACACTGCTTCTCTACGCCCACCCGGACAGAGACTTCCCCTTCCTTCATGTGGAGATGAAATATAAATCATTGTGAAGCTGCTCGCTGAGGTCCTTGTTATTCATTCGCTTCCTGTGATATCTATTTTTACCTGTCATCACCTACACCCACACATGGCCTTTTACCCTAGCTTGTCCTTGGTCAATTCCATCAGGGAAGTGTGTAATTCTCATCATGTCCCAGGCTGAGGAAGAAAACAAAAAAGAGTGAGCATTGACATGTTCTTGTGCTTCTTTATCACTACAGGGAAAGGTAAGGCTGGGCAAAGATAGCACTATTTCCTTCGGCATTCAGTTCACAGGAGCTGGGACCCAGGGGCAAAATGTGATCAAGATATAACAGACATTTCAGAGAATGTTTCCCCAAAGTTTGAGATTGCTAAACCTCTAGATTTATCTGGTTTATAGCATGGAGGACTGGACATTCCTTGCTTATTAAGGAGTCTGGCTGAATGAAAGCTCAGCTACTCTGGTCGTCACTAAAAGGAATGATGTAGAAGTGCTGACTATGGGAAGGATGCCTCATCAGGGATCCTTTTGCTTGTTGTAACCTTGTCTTTCAGTAAGGTCCAGTATAGCTGTTGAATTTTTTAGGCTTCCATCTTGGGTACTTTAACACAATTCTGTAATGGTTCTGCATATTTTTGGTCAGTGCCTGTTTTTCTTGAACTACAGAACCCACCCCAACACTCAGGCACTCAAGTGCACAGTACTTTTTTCAGCATTTTTGTGTTCATGTTTTTTCTTTTGGTAAGCAAGTTGGTCCTGCTACAGCATTGTTCTCAGTACACCAAAACCACAATTTAGATGCTCTGGCACCAAAGTTCATTTCATGCCTCAGCACCTTACAGTTCAGTTTTGGTGCTTCCTGTGTCTGTTGGTCTGGAGCTAATTCACCTGGGCCTTTTTCTTTTATTCAGGTTGTGATACAGCAGGGCCAGAGAGCAGCAGGAGAGTGGTTGATGGGAGGTATATAAGCCCTAGGATGATCAAGGCCTTATTCCCTGTGGACTAGGGAAAGGTTACTACAGGGTAATTGGAGCACCTGGAGTCAATTAAGGCCCTGCCCAAGACCTAATAAAAAAACCTCCGCTTCAGTCAGACAGGGAGAGGGAAGGAGAGCTGACTAGAGTTTGGAGGAGTACTGCTGTTAGCCAGAGGACCAGGGGAAGGGAAACCCTGCTCAAGCAGAGCAGAGGGACTCCCACGGCATAGAGGACTGAGGGAAACCCTACCCAAGGGGAGAGAGGGTAAGCAGCCCCCAAAGCTGAATGGGCTGAGACCCAGAGTAGGAGAGCGGACCTGGGTCCCTTCCCCACTCCTGTCTCTCTCCCACCGGGGCACTAGCGGAGCCCACAACGCCCAAGAATAGGGGCAAGGGGCGGTACCCTGACCCACCACACCACTGTCAGCCATTTGCCAAAAGGTGTAGAATTCAAGGAAAAAAGACCACTCAGCAGCTTCAAACCTTGTTTTGTGAGGCAGGGTGAAAGAATGTTGATTATCGTGGAATCTGTTAAGATCTATAAAGGTATCAGATACATTTGCAGATGTCACCCAAGTGCTGAAGAAAGGTGGGATACATCTCCAACATTCCTTGAGGCACCTCAGGAAGAGTCCATTAGATCTGCCACAAGACCAGCAAGGAACGCTTCAAAGGCTCAACCTCCAAAGCTAAATCCTGAATTGTTGAAGACCACTGAGTGCCAGGACTCTGTGCCATTGCACCCAAATCAGCTCTCACCTGCCTGTTCCCCCAGATAAGCTGAGCAGGATAGTTTCACTATAAAAGTATATGGCACCAGCAAGACTCAAGACTTCACCAAGCAATGGCTCCTCGACATATCTGGGGCCTTTGCACTTGACGCTGGTGGCAGTGGGCTCTGGTTCACTGAAGCCTCCATGCATGTGATCAAGGTAGGAGGCACGAAGAAGTGGCAAGCAGCTATCCGGTGTACCTCTACCAAAGTCCCCAACTTCGGGAGGCTCTGTATTGAGCCTCTAGATTTTCTCCTTCCTGCATTTGGGTGCATAAACCAGAGAGGGGGACGGCAACTCTAGGCATCAGTATATGTTTGTTGGTGTGACCCAATCCCTTCTGATTCTCTGCAAGGTAGCACACAACATCAGATCTGAGTCATTCATCTGGCCCTGCATCAATGGTTATAGGAATTTTTGGCATAGTGGGAGCTCTTTTTACACGAAAACTGACTCTTGCACCCTAAGATATGTGAAGCCAATGCAGGAAGCCAATATGTGAAGCTAATGTTAGTGCCTCTTGTGGCAAAGGCTTCAGCACAACTGCTATTGTTCCCTCCCAGAGCCTCACATTGGCTAGACCATTCCAGCTGCTTGAGTGTGGGCAGGTTGAGGATAAAGGATTCAAATAACAAGGAGGATCCTTCTAATGCCAAATTCTTTACTGTCATCCTATGGAGGAGCACCAAGACAGTGACTGCACAGAAGAGTATCTGACCTTACCCCAGTTCTTACAAACATTGTCTGAGATAGTGTTTGTAAGATAGTTTTGAATGAAAACTTCTCCAGGAGTCTACGTGACCTCAGTCGAGAGGTATGTGGGTGAGGAACTCCCTCCTTCCGCCAGTAGAATTGCCATGCCTTTAGTCTCTTTTTTGGAAGAAAGTGGAGCAATGCCTCACACAGCTGCCCCAGTCTCAAAGGCTTTCGAGAAAATACATCCTCCCCAAGAACATTCACAAGTGTGTCGTCTTCTCACCTTTTTCGGTAGAGCTTAGTGATGGAAGCTGCAGTGACCAGAAGAAAGACCAGCCAGACTTTTGATACTGCATTTGAAAGAGAGATTTACCAGTCCATTTGAAAGAATATATTTGAAAGAAACAGTGAGTGCGCTTCTCTTAGAGACTGGCAATTTGTAACATGTTCTGGACCTTATGGATACTACTTACTAGGGCTGTCAAGTGATTAAAAAAAATTAATCATGATTAATTGCACTGTTAAAGAATAATAGAATACCATTTATTTAAATATTTTTGGGTGTTTTCTATATTTTCAAATACATTGATTTCAATTACAACACAGAATACAAAGTGTACAGTGCTCACTTTATATTTATTTTTGATTACAAGTATTTGCACTGTAAAAAAACAAAAGAAATGGTATTTTTTTCAATTCACCTAATACAAGTACTGTAGTGCAATCTCTTTATCATGAAAGTTGAACTTACAAATGTGGAATTATGTACAAAAAAACTGCATTCAAAAATAAAACAATGTAAAATTTTAGAGTCTGCAAGTCCCACTCGGTTGTCCTCCTTGTTCAGCCAATCACTCAGACAAAATGCACTAAATATTCATATGTCCCTTTCTACTTCAACCATCATTCCAGGGGACATGCGTCCATGCTGATGACGGGTTCTGCTCGATAACAATCCAAAGCAGAGCGGACCGATGCATGTTCATTTTCATTATCTGAGTCAGAAGCCACCAGCAGAAGGTTGATTTTCTTTCTTAGTGGTTCGGGTTCTGTAGTTTCCGCATTGGAGTGTTGCTCTTTTAAGACTTCTGAAAGCATGCTCCACACCTCATCCCTCTCAGATTGTGGAAGGCACTTCAGATGCTTAAACTTTGGGTTGAGTGCTGTAGCTATCCTCAGAAATCTCACACTGATACCTTCTTCGTGTTTTGTGAAATCTGCAATGAAAGTGTTCTTAAAATGAACATGTGCTGGGTCATCATCCGAGACTGCTATAACATGAAATATATGGCAGAATGCAGGGGACATACAATTCTCCCCCAAGGAGTTCAGTCACAAATTTAATTAACGCATTTTTTTTTAACAAGTGTCATCAGCATGGAAGCATTTCCTCTGGATGGTGGCCAAAGCATGAAGGAACATACGAATGTTTAGCATATCTGGCACATAAATACCTTGCAATTCCAGCTACAAAAGTGCCATGCAAATGCCTGTTCTCACTTTCTGGTGACATTGTAAGTAAGAAGAGGGTAGCATCATCTCTTTTAAATGTAAACAAACTTGTTTGTCTTAGCATTGGCTGAACAAGAACTAGGACTGAGTGGACTTGTAGCTCTGAAGTTTCGCAGTTTTGTTTTTGATTTCAGTTATGTAACAAACAAAAAAATCTACATTTGTAAGTTGCACATTCACAACAAAGAGATTGCACTACAGTATTTGTATGAGGTGAATTGAAAAATTTCTTTTGTTTATCATTTTTACAATGTAAATATTTGTAATAAAAAATAATATACACTTTGATTTCAATTACA